AAGGCTCTTTCTATGGATGACACCGAGTTTGAAACAAATATGGAATCTGCTCGAGCACTTCTTTCTGGTCTCTCTGCCGACAACAATGTACTGGGTCAAAGTGATCAGAATGTTGGGCCTGTTCCTGGATCAGACACTTATGAGGCTAAACTAAGTTTTAGGTCAAATAGGCCTCAAAGCCCTGCTACACTGCCAAAATTCTCAGTTGCATCAACAGAAACAAAATCCAAGAACGAGGATCCATATGTCAAAAGTCAGTCATCAATGGAAAAGATTCCATCACTCTCGGATCTAGAAAATAGAGGGGCTGGTATGCTTATGAAGGAGGATAGTGTCAGCCAAGTGTTTCAAAGTTTCCCCTACCTATATTCCCAGGCTGGTGACCTAACAGTGGGTGATGTCGAAGAACTATTAAGCAATTACAAGCACCTTGTTTTCAAGTATGTTTGCCTTGCTAAAGGATCCGGCATTGGCAATCCATCTCCACCATTGCCCAATCAAGGACAAAGTCAATTCCCTGAATCTGAAATCACCACTGAATCAAAGGCCACCTCAGCAGGAGAGCCAAATGATGAGATGCAAAAGGATGGTCCCGAGGATTCAAGTTCAGTACTTTCTCAGTCTCTTGAGAGTGATGAATCCAAGTTAAAGGAAAATGAAGTTGTTTCAGGTAGCGGTGAAGAAGGGAGCGAAGTTTTGCAAATATGATTCAGTGGAAAACTAATGTAGAATCATGTTATAGTTTATGTTGTTTCTGTCTGTTTAGCGACAGAATGAGGATCCACTTGATTCTTTCTGGACAGTATAATAGAAGTCAGAAATCCTGATCTTACCAGTATTTTTTGATAACCATGTGGACAATTGACTACTTGGAATCCGCCGTTCTCTCTCTCTCTCTCTCTCTCTCTCTCTCTCTCTCTCTCTCTCTCTCTCTTGTGTGTGTGTGAGAAACTCTTTACAGAAAGAATAACAAACCCTGATGGGTGATATTTTGGAGCACAATGAAATATTTCAAAAAACATGTGATTAATTCTAACAATTTTCTGGTCATTATATAATGGTCAAACCAGGGAAAATCTGGAAATTCTGTTATTGTCCTTAGAAGAGGTTTTAACCCCAACCATTACAACTCTATGAAAGGATCCAACTTAGAGCAAACATTCTGAGATGCTCTATGTAAGCTCCATTTGATTCCTAATCACAGGTGAATACTTTTGATTACATATACTGAGATGCTCTATCTCTTGCCATATACTGATCGGAGAAAAATAGAAGAAGAAGGAAAAAGAAAATAGAAAGAATGCCTCAACCTTCTATGGGAATGGATGCTTAAATATTGACTAGCACCCTGCTTTCTTATCTAGTCATCGATTTAATAATAAAATTATTGAGAAAAGAGAACAACCTGGGGTTCTCATAGCTTAGGTGAGGACCGTATCACGTTTTCAGGTAAAAATAGCACGGGCTAGCGAGTTTTCGGACTGATCATTCAAAAATAGCCAGTGTTTGCAAAGTTATTGAAAAATAGCCACTATTTTGCTGCAACACGAAAAATTCCAGCATAATATACTGGAGATCGGTGCACCTGTGTATGAACTTCCAACATATTATGCTGAAACTCCAACACGCGGAAAGTTCTATTATAATATACTGAAGTTCTAGTATACTTATGTTGGAACTCCAGTAGTATTTATGCTGGAACTCCAGTAGTATTTATGCTGGAACTCCAGTAGTATTTATGCTGGAACTCCAGTATAATATACTGGAGTATTTTTTCGGATTTTGAACAGTATTTTTGTTCAAATTTATCTTTACATGAAAAGTGACTAAATTTCGATTACTTTTGAAACTGTGGTTATTTTTGAATGACCACTTGTGAATCTTGATATTTTTTAATTTCTCCATAATGCTTTATTTCAATTTCGCGCAGACTTGCATCGAAGTAAAACATCGCGATCAATTCCGGTTTGTAACGATCCACCTTAATTTCCATTATAAATTCCATCTCTTCATGCGCAAAAAAATAAAGGGAAATTTTCATAATTGCTTATAGATTCAAAAAATATTCCATAAACAAATGCAGTACTTTTTACACTGAGGGGTCGTTTGATATGAGGTATAAGAAAGTATAGTGCTGATATAAAAAATTAATATCACCTTAATATTTTGTTTGGTTAGCAAATCTGGTATAAGTTATTCTGGGATAAAAATTAGTACCGGGATAACTTATACCTTGTTGAGGGTGGGTAATTAGTGTCGGGATAACTTATACCTTCTTCTTAGAAATTATGCAATTTTTTTTTTAATGCAACATATAAAACAATGGATAAAAAACAATACCAGGATAACTAATCCCAGCATAAGCCGTATTCAAACCAAACGAGAATAATGCGGAATAAGGTGTATTAATAATGCATGGTAATACATGGATATTTTATTAGTTAAATATTGTTTTTCTTTTCAATTTTTTTTATAATTCTATAAGTGAGAATTACTTAGAGACAAAAAAGTTTCTCCTCTAATTCTATAATAATGCTTTATATAGTAAATTAATTTCTTGACAAGTGCGAGTATTATTCTTTTATTTTTGTGATCTATGCGTAATCTCTTGATTTTCTTGCAAGATTATGAATGTTTTGACTTTTGACCGTTTGAGTAATCCTCATGTGAGAGTCATTTGACTATTTGTAACTTTTATAAAAGGCGTTTGGACATAAAAATTGTAATTTTTGAAAAAAAAAAGGTATTTGGAATTAAGTTGAATAATGATATTTGAATTTGAAACTTAAAAAAATATTACAGTTTTGTGAACGGAGAACAAAAAATTCCTGAAAATTTTGAAAAAGTGGTCAAAATCACTTTTTGATTTTTGAAAAACTTATTTTTGAGATTTTTATAAAAACTGGTAAATTTTCAGGAACAAACATATTTTTGAAAAAAAAAATAAATTACGGAAAAAAAACTATTAACATACGGGGCCATAAATTGTATGAGAACTTTTGCTTTAACGAAGAACATGCATTTGGTTCAAATCTCGATGAGCTACCACAGGCTATTCCGTACAAAGGTTTTAGTTCCCACATGAAACTGTCTTTCTCGAAAACCTCACGTCTTTATTTAGAAAAGAAATGTGAGATTTAACCAAAAAAAGAAAGACAAAAGCTAAAGAACAATGTAGGGGTCACTTGGTCCATTCCATTGAAATAATACTCAACATTAAGTTAATAATTTTTTTATGCGAAATAGAATATAAAAATATTATATAGCATTAGACAATGTAGGAATTGAATAATTTTAAGACAAAATAACTTTAAAAGTAAATAATTTATTCATACTTCATCACAATAAAACAATTCTTTCATTACAAATTAAATTATCCTTAAATAATTGATGTATTAAAATATTCACATAATTAACTTCAACTAAATATTTGGAGAAATAACGAGACCGTATATAACTGTGTAACTTCTCAAAGAATATCTCAAGTTTCAGCTAACTTATCAGACCCGCACTACCTCTGCTACTTCCCCACCTATTCTTTCCACTCCAACCTTCAAATTCTGCATTTTCTTGCACCCTTTACCTTACATTTTTCTGGGTATTCAATCAAAATCCAAGTTTTTTTTTTAAAAAAGACCACATTCCTCTGTATGTTATTACAGTGCTGAGGAGGTTAAAAATGGGTAAGAAAAGCTGGATTTTGTGGGTTGTGACTCTGCTGCTATGTTGGAGCAAGATTGCAATGGCTAAAAAGAACATCAAGTATAAGGACCCAAAACAACCAGTTGAGGTTAGAGTTAAAGATCTTCTTGGTAGAATGACCCTTGCAGAAAAGATTGGTCAGATGACTCAGATTGATAGGTCTAGTGCTACAATCCAAGTCATGAAAGATTACTATATTGGTAACTTTTCAAATCTCTGTAGTATTACTACCTCCGTTCCAATTAAATATATGATTTAACATTTGTGCTGTTATATAACTTTTGAAACTTGTGCCTTAAACATGTCATAATATTTGTGCCGCTATAAAAGATTTTGGTTGTGAAAGATTCTGGTTAAGGGTAACATAGGAAGTGCAAAGTTAACTGTTTTTAAATTTAGAGGTGTGTCATTCTTTTTGGAACAGACTAAAAATTAATATGTATCACATAAATTGAACGAGGAAGTATCATTTCCATGTTTGTATATTTCTTTCTGCTATACATTTGTTTCTTTTGCGTCTATTTTTTTTGTTTTTCTAGTTGGTTTGTACTGTTAGTTTCTGGAGATTTGAAATATTGTCGAAGATTGTTTTGAAAGCTTGAAGTATATGGTAGTAGTAGTATCATTTGCATATTTGTTTATTGCTTTTTTTTTTTCTTGCATTTATTTTCTTTGTTAGTTGTCTTACTTTTCTTATAGATTTGATAATGTCAAGTTGTTCCTGAGCCGAGGGTCTATCGGAAACAACGACTCTGCTCTATCGGGGTAGGGGTAAGGTCTGCGTACACACTACCCTCCCCAGACCCCACTTAGTGGGACTTTACTGGGTCGTTGTTGTTGATAATGTCAAGTTGAAGTCGATTGTTATGAGAAATTGAGTTTTAACTCCCTATGAATTACATTAGTATAATTTCACATCTGTATTTTTGATAAGGAACATTTCACATCCATATAGTTGTATTCTTTACATATTCTTCTAAGTTTTTTGCTTTTCTTTGCATCTTTTGATGATGATAAGTTACTAGCAGTTACTTTCTTTGAGATTCAGTTTAATAGTTGGAGATTTGACAATTCCAGCTTAATAGTTGCAAGTATACATGGTTACTCCAGCATTTTTTGACAATTCAACTACAAGATCAGGAACTGCAAAATTGATGGAATAAGAATTAAGTAGAAAGAGTATGCGAAAGAGCTGAAATGAATAGAGCAATAAGGCAAATTGAGCTAAAGTTAGATCCTTTTCAGTTTTCACTGATTCAGTTTCTTCATTGAAATTTGATTTATCCAGAGTACGCATAGGCTGTCGATGGAGTTTGGAAGCATGTTTTCAACATCTTTTTGTTATACCTCAGTCTTGGCTTTTATTGATTAATGATTAGGACCTTTTGAAAAATGAAACTATGAAATTGGAAGAAATGATTATTAAGTGCAAAACCAGTGATCGGCGAAATGATTATTTGTACAAATCAACTGCAAACAACATTTATTTTACAGTTGTTTGCTTATATTCAGATTCTGATATGATAGTTGTTATGAAGCAGTAATTAACAACAAAACATGAACTCCAGGAATATCTTTTAAGAACCAAGCAATTACTAACATCTTCTAAATAACCCATTGTCAAAATAAACTAGGAAATAGACTGGATTATGTTTACCTTTTTTGAGATGAAAGATGGATTATATTTACCTGTGTTTAAAAATTAAGATGTAGGGGGTCAAATCCCAATCAAAGGCTCTCCCACTTTTGCTTAACATATTTTGTGGGCACGACATACAGAAAATTGAAGTTTTTGTTCGGTTATTCTAATTTAGGGAGTGTATTAAGTGGTGGGGGAAGTGAGCCACTTCCGAAAGCTACTGCTGCAGATTGGGTTAATATGGTGAATGACTACCAAAATGGTTCTATGTCAACTCGCCTTGGGATTCCAATGATATATGGGATTGATGCCATTCATGGACACAACAATGTTTTCAATGCCACCATATTTCCACATAACGTTGGGC